ATTCCTGGCGTATTAAAATACCGAAGACATATATATATATATATATATATATATATATATGGTTCGAATGCAGTTTCGAAAATATAACCGTTTTCTTCCAGCTCCTCCCTTCCATCAGAATCAGTTGTCACTATATATGGAATCATTGTAGTTTTGACGTATTTGCTTAATAAATTGAGTTTACGACATGTTAATTCTTGTTGAGCTATTTAATGTCGAGTTTTGTCTTGGCCATCTTGTGAAAAATCGAACTCTCTCCTAATAGTCAACCACACTCGTTACCTATTATTCCATGTCGGTGTATATTTTCTTTGATTGATGCGAACATTGAAGATGGACGAAATTGAGCAACATTTTCGGCATGGAGGGAAAAAATCAATTAAAACACACACACACAAAAAAAAGACTTCAAAGTTATCGAGAAACAACGGATAAACCTCTACTCCTGTTCAAGAGTTTAGTTATTAGTATTTGACTTGATTTAGCTGCAAAATGTCAAGACATGCTTTGCTCTAACAATTAACCTGCGAACTATTGTCCTCGTTTCGGCCGTTGTGACCTTTGGCCTTCAACAGATGTATACCGGTCCGCGTAACACACATGGAATTCCGAAGTGAACCTATTTAACGTACGATGGTAAACTGTTCTCGTTCCACTGTCTTTGTCTAGGGATATCTTGTCTAGTTCTTATTTTTAATACTGTTCAGTTATATTCGCACTATTTCCACTGATCCCCAATACACACTGCTCAGCTCAGGGATTGAACTCACAATTACTATCACCAAGGACGGAGGGCACAACAACCGAAACGTTGTGATAACAACAACAAAGATGAGGATAATAGCTCGAAGTATAAATAGGGTAATTCATAATAACTCATTCCAAGAATTCAGACAAAAATTGACCACACAACTTTGCCGTGACTTCCTTTTAAGTCCTGGGTATGACGATAAACTACATCCGGCAGCAAGGCCTTTGATTGAGAAATTGGGGATTTTGAGTAGCGTGGAACTCTTCTTAATTACCGTTGTTCCAAGGTCCACCTGGGGTGGTAGTACTTGTTAGGGTTCTAGTGACCCCGCCAAACAAAAAAAAAACACACTGAAAATATGAAAATACATATTATAGCAAAATGACCGACAGTACTTATTTATAGCTAAATGACCAACAATTCATTGATCTATAGTTGACAGTATACAATTGCGTTCAAAGTATATTTAGTTGAAGCTATAAAATTGTGTTCAAAATATTTACATTTCGGCATGAAACAATCCACAGAGGTTGATATGCCGCTAAACAAAATCAACCAACTTCCTGTTCAAGGCGATCATTTCAAATGACATCCCGGTGTTCTCTCGGATTTGGTCTTTCCATTTCTTGGATGCTTTTTTTGTCAGGGAAATTGTCGGATTTAAACAAAAAGTTTCGTTATTTTCTTCTAATCAGAGCAATTAGATCACTCTCCAAAACTTAGGAAAAAGAAAACATCTGTGAAACAGTCCTCCCATTTGCGTGTTAAAACATTTAGTCAATCTTGCAGTATGCTCCCGAACACTATAGAAACATAAGCGGAAGAAATGGTTTAGTTTTAGAAGAATACCTCAAGTATAGAGATAGGGTAACCCGTCCACACAGGAAAATATTAGATATGAGAAAAAAAAAAAAAATTCTAAAGTTTTATTAAATTGATGAATTATTTTCGTGGACAAATGTTCAAGTTTTAAACAAAAATTGATATATCATTTCCTATTTTAGTAACGTTCATTGAGCGAACGGCCAGTGCTACAATTGATTGAAATTTATAAAGTCTTTTTCTTAAAATAATTTTTCAGGAAAATAGTTTTCCCAAGTTCACGGTTATAACTTTGCAATATCAATGGCGGAGTGGGGTGAGGTGGTGTTCCAGTATCAATGGGGGTTTCCTTCCTAAGCTTTTGTTCGAAGTAGTGTGGAATGTCAACATCTTGATTATGTCATTACTTTCTCTTCGAGTTACCTGTGATATTCGTTTTAATTGTTGCTGCTGTCGGTTTCTGCTATTTGGTATGGTTCTTTGGAATTCTGTAGCCTCAGTCCATGAGACTCGAAGACATTTGGTCCTCGCCAAGACGTACATGCTTCATTCACACGAAGCCATTTTTTAAAATTGATACTGGGAAAGCAGTTGTATACAGCTAATAAATGAATGCTTGGTCACTCAGAACTCAAACTCACTCAATGGTATCTTGTTGTAGACTGAATAATTCCAAAGAGGCGTGCTTAGGCATATGTAAAACGATCTGTTATGATTAGTTGCCAAGTTACATCAAACTCGTGTGACGAGTTTTCGTGACATTCGAAATAGCTGTAGAGAGATTTCGTATTTAAAAAAAAAAAAAAAAGAAGCAACATTTCAATGTATTTTTCGTTCGAATTAAGGTTTTAAAATCATCTGTCGCGTTACCTTCAATGTCATTGTGGTTAAGTTAATTGTTTGCCGAAGCAAAACTAGTTAGAGGTTTTGAAGTGCTCAAATATTGATTAGTGTCGAATGTAACCGGTTTGGATTAAAAATTCTTTTATAATTGTTAATTGTTTCTTTCTGTCTTTAGATCTGAATTTCTAGGGTGAGGAGTTATTATTATTATTTACAGCCTGACTGATAACTTCATCTTTGATGTGACTATTACAATGTTTCTGCAGTTGTGCCTTTCAAACGTCTGTCAATCACGATAAACTTCAGGGAATTTTGGACCCTGAATTTAATCTATTGGGGCAGATAAATGACTCGGGAAGTGTAGAAAATAGAACCGACTGGAATTTGAACTCTACTTAATAACTTCCATGCGGATAAGCGTTAGATTATTCGCACATCTACTAAAGCTTTTTGAGATTATCTTCATTGCTGACATGAAATATCCATATAATATCAGTCAGTTATCAGCCATACGTGATACACGCTGAGGCGATCATGTATCTTTCGATATACGACAGACGAGGCAGATATTTTTCCCGCGGGAGGTTGCCATTTCTTTCTGCGGTAGACCAGTTGCTATTCAAGGCTATAGAACCAGGTCTGTCTTGCTATTTACCCATAGCTGGGGTAGGGAGAAGAGGATTCATACCTTTCCGTTATTAGCACGTAAGTGAATGGATTCGACTGGAATTCGAACTCGGCTCTCCGATTCCTCATTCCGAGCCGCTATCCATTACGCCACCGACTTAAAAAAGAATAACCATCAAAGCACAAAATTTGACTCAAAGAGAACGCAAAAAGAGAAATATATACAATAATCTCTTTTGACAGAATCGTACACAATCATAGGAGTGTCAGAAGGTTAGCTAGAAATCGCTAGAAAAACAGAAACTTTTCTAAATGCCGTTCGATTAAAAATTTTAGTGATGATGTCGAAAGAAAACTAAATAACACTTCTGTTTGTTTGGCTTGTTTACGGCATATCAACTTCAATGGGTTATGTAATGCCGACAAGATTTTTATTGCTGGAAATATTTTTTTTCCAAAACGTATTGATGGTATTAAAACCTATTTTTATATTTTCATAGTGCTTTGATCCCTTTTGGGAGGTTAACTATTTGGTCATAGCTGGGACCCTGACAGGTGCTACCACCCCGGGTCAGGGTGGACCTGGGAACACCAGTAATTAAGAGGTGGTTCCACGCTCCTCAATCCCCACCACCGCTAAACTGAGGCTTTACCGCCGCATGCAGTTTATCGTCTTACCCAGGACGGGTTAACGATTGGATAAAATTTTATTAAAAATAATTATTAAATGAATTATTCGGACAGTGTTGGGATTTGATTGGTTCTCAGTCCTATACTATTCATGTCATATTTTTGTGTGGTATTTTGGGTAATAAAAAAGAAGAGGAAGTATAAACTTCAGCCATTTATATCTCGTTGGATGTGTAAGGCTGATTTTATTGATCACAATCTGCGTTCTCTTGGCAACGGATATAACGATTTTGTTTTTAGCGCAAGGGTTAAACCAGTGTGTTCTTCAAACTTCCTCAGTTGTAGGTTTTATTCTGCATAATCTTAATCTTTTTTTCTTATCCTAATCTCTTTTGTTTCCTGCATTAAAAAATATGATGTTGCGGATTTTTCCGAATGGAAAATTAAAAAAATAAAAGCACAACATTCAAGGATTACAAATTGTTAGTATCATTTCTCTGAAGTCGTTTTTTACGGATTATCAACCCTTTGTGGTTTATTTAAAGCCAAAACGTATTTCGGATTCTAAGAAGTACTTAGTGTTCCAAATCTGTTCCCTATCTAAATACTGACCAAGCTCTTTTTTTCTTAACTTCGATAAGTGAACGGTACTTGTTTTAAAGGCACGATTATTGTCATCTCTTTTAAAGTGGGTGGAACTTTTTTCTTTTACAACTAAATAAGTTGGTAAATACCAGGGTATTAACATATGAATAATAAGCAGCGAATATTGGCTTAAAAGGATTACAAGAATTAGACATGAATAGGAAAGGTTATTTACTGGGAACTGCGCAAATGAAAGCAGGTTGACGACGCAAACTAATCAGATATATTACATACAAACCAGAAACTGTTACGTAAATAAAAAAGTAAAATCCTTTGTGATTTTGAGACTCAAAGTAACTATGCTGCCCAGATCAGGTAATCATAAACAAGAAAACATTCCAGATAATTGGGCTTTTGATGTTTCCTCTGAAGTGAAAATATAGCTATCACAGTCTTGCCATAGAACGGAGTTGGCTGATTGATTCGTTTTTACGGCTTATCAATCCTTTGCAGGTTATTTAAAGCTAGAAAATATTTTTAGAATTTTTTTTTTCAGATAATAACGATTTAGTGATACAAGTCTTAATAATTAACCCCTAACGGTGGGGGGATGTGGATTCACACATTTTCCAAAGCTGTTTCGCGTAAGTAAATATAAAGAACGCAACTGGAATTGGAACTCGGCTCTTCGATTAACAATCAGAGTCATTATCCATTACACCACCTGCACATCAAAGCTTAAAGCATCTGGTATTCTCAAGCGGTCACCCACATAGATACTGACCAAGCTCGACGTTGCTTAACTTCGGTGATCGTACGACAGCCGGTGTTTCAACCTGATATAGTCGTAAGTCAACTGATGTTGGGGGCGTTGATTTTGCAACATATCAATCTTTGTTGGTTATGTCTTGAAAGTCTCTAAGCAATTACTTGGTTCAGAGAAAGGTAAATATTGGTCATTTATATTTGAGTCTAAGTATTTATTTGATTCAGGCATAGGCAAATATAGGTCATTTGAGTGCATAAGCATTTACTTGATATATACCCTAATCCACTTTTTTAAAGTATCACCCCTCTTCAGGGATATGCAGTCGAATTACTCTCCGCCCCACTAATAAGGCTATATAGAACTGAAAAAGTTGTGGAACATAAAATTGACAGTCATGCCAATAGTTATTGGAGCACTAGAAAGTCTCGAAAAGCATGGGAAAAGAGTGAAAGAGCTGGAAATTAGTGGGGGGGAGTTAAAACTATCAAGAAATTGGCATCGTTGAAAACAGAATAGTGAGAGTATGCAGGAGACGTGCTGTCATCTGATCTCTCTTATAGATCTTTAGTTAATACACTTGTTAAAATTCAATAACAATAATTTTACTTAGAGAAATTTATGAAATAATTCACTTCAGGCAATTATTATCGATAATATTTTCTGCAGATGATAATGATTTTTTACCCGTTGATCCAGTGTCAGGTAAGTGAAAACGTTTGAGGTGGGAGTTAAATAGGATAGCCTATTGATTAGTCTTTCGTACATATATTAAGTCCCAAACGTCATTAATCACCCTGGAAAGCTGCTTGTGTCAAGTACAAAGAAAGGAAACAAAAGGTCTTCACAGCAAAATGTCGCGCGAAGGCCGAGGATGCGATGACGCTGAGAAAGTGGTTATACTAAAAGATGATTTTTTTTTTGTAAAAAAGGTACCTGAATAATTGTGAAGAAATTCGAGGACTGTTGCTTTAATAACGAAAGCGGCGGCTGATTGAAGATCAAATTTCGTAACGTTGAGTTTCGATCTGGAGGTAGGACATCTCAACGAGATAAGACTAGGGTGTTGTAATAACTTGGACCGATTTTAAATGGGAATTAAGTTTAAGCGTCTAATTATTTTTTCAGATTTAACAACTTACATCTTTGGCAATTTCAACTATGGAAAGATTAAAAATCAAACAACGTGTTAAATTTATCGAAACCTATTACGAAAATGGACGTTCAAATAGAAATGCATTTCACGCACATCGCGATTTTTTTGGTCAACATAATCGACCAACCGAGAGTGCAATTGGAAAAATTGTACGTAAATTCAAACAAACTGGGTCTTTGGCAGATGTGAAAACATCATTGCGTGCTCGTTTACGCCGTTCAGCTGAAAAAAAACTTGATGTAGGGCACAAGAATGTGGAGGAAAATCCAGACATCTCTATTCATCACCGCGCGCAGGAATTGAACCTCTTCACAACAACGTCACATTGAATTTTGACAAAAGATTTGTCTCTACGCGATTACAAAATTCAAGTGACAGAAGAACTGAAACCTGCTGATCATTTGGAGCGACGTACATTCATCAATTGGGTGCACGAGCAAAGACAAGCCGATGAAAATTTTTCGCAAAAAATCTTTAGTGATGAAGCCCATTTTCATTTTAGTGGATTCGTTAATAAGCAGAATTGCCGCATTTGGGCGGATGAAAATCCAAGAAAGATTGTTAAGAAGCCACTGCATCCACGAAAGGTCACTGTTTGGTGTGCATTTTTTTGCTAGCGGAATCATCGTGCCGTATATTTATAAGTTTGAACGTCCAATTTCGTAATCAGTTGTGTCATGTGTGATACACGCTTAGGCGACCATACATCATTTGATATATGACTGACGAGGGAGATATTTTTTGGTAGTAGGTTGCCATTTCTTTTTGTGGTAGACCAGTTGCCATCCAAGGCTATAGAACACGGTCTGTCCTGCTGTTTACTAATAGCTTAGAAGAGGAGGATTCACATCTTTCCTAAGGTTATTAGCACGTAAGTGAATGTAATGGATTCGACTGGAATTCGAAATCTGCTTCAATAACTTTAACACGTTGTTTGATTGTTAATCTTTCCATGGTTGAAATTGCCAAATACTTCAGTTTTTAAATCTGAAAGAAAACGAAAAAAAAAAAAAAATCATTAGACGCTTAAACTTAATTCTCATTTAAAATCGGTCCAACTTATTGGAACACTATAGTCATATTAGTTACAGAAAGTTATACTTTTGCATAGGTTTTGGACTCACATTTGAAAAGTGAAGATATTTGCTTTGTTCAATGGCAAGAAATCATTGTAAGGATGCTATATTTGAGAGGGGAGCCAGAGTCTATTATTTCATGTTCATTGCATTTTCGTAGAAATACAGAGATACTTTCAGATGTTCTCTCCGAGAATCTTGCTACACATAATAATACCAGATGACGTACCTGTATCAAGAGTATCTCCGATCTGATTGAAATTTTATATTAATCATTATCTATAAAGATTAAAAGACATCATATATTTTTCTAGAAAACATCACAACAGTTTTCACCTATAGGTCTTACTTAAGTCGCAGTGTCTATAAGTTTATTTTTGTGGACTAGTAACTTATAAAAATTTAGAAGGAATGTGAATTTGAAGAATTTTTTTTTTTTCAAAATAAACATTTTAAAATAGGAAAGTTCCAAAGATCTTCCAAATCCATAAACCATTGATTTAGTATTTCTATAATTTGGGGGATATGTGAGGTGGTTTACATCTATGTTTTAATGGTGAACTGGCCTCTTGGGACTTCTAGTCACGCACGATATAAACAGGTCATTCAAGAACAGCGCTCGTTTTAATGTCTATCAACGATTTAGTCAATTGTTTATTTAACCAACTTATCCGTCCAGTCACGCGCGAAACGAAGAATATTTAGTTTTAAGGTTGAATAACCCCACCCCCTATGCATATTCCTATTTTTTTGTTTTATTTTGTTGTTTATGCTTTTAGAAAACCCAATTATAAAATGATCATAATACATTGTGTTACCTAGGAACAGAAAAATGACGTATGCGACAAAAGTGACGTCGCACATTCGGTTGTTCGAAAAATAATGTCGCATTTGAATATTTAATAATAAAAAGAAAAAGCCTTGACACGGAACAAGCTTATTTGTCAAGAACAATAGTTATTAGTAGTAATAAAACATTGTCAAATGATGTTGACTAAGTAGGTTGATTTCACGTTTCAACTCTGGCTGGGTTTAATTTAATTTAGAAATCCATTTTGTACATTACTTCCACTAGCTTTAGGCCTATGATAATTTACTTCCACTAGCTTTAGGCCTATGATAATTTACTTCCACTAGCTTTAGGCCTATGATAATTTACCTCCACTAGCTTTAGGCCTATGATAATTTACCTCCACTAGCTTTAGGCCTATGATAATTTACTTCCACTAGCTTTAGGCCTATGATAATTTACCTCCACTAGCTTTAGGCCTATGATAATTTACCTCCACTAGCTTTAGGCCTATGATAATTTACCTCCACTAGCTTTAGGCCTATGATAATTTACCTCCACTAGCTTTTAGGCCTATGATAATTTACCTCCACTAGAGAGGGCCTATGATAATTTACTTCCACTAGCTTTAGGCCTATGATAATTTACTTCCACTAGCTTTAGGCCTATGATAATTTACTTCCACTAGCTTTAGGCCTATGATAATTTACTTCCACTAGCTTTAGGCCTATGATAATTTACTTCCACTAGCTTTAGGCCTATGATAATTTACTTCCACTAGCTTTAGGCCTATGATAATTTACTTCCACTAGCTTTAGGCCTATGATAATTTACTTCCACTAGCTTTAGGCCTATGATAATTTACTTCCACTAGCTTTAGGCCTATGATAATTTACTTCCACTAGCTTTTAGGCCTATGATAATTTACTTCCACTAGCTTTAGGCCTATGATAATTTACTTCCACTAGCTTTTAGGCCTATGATAATTTACTTCCACTAGCTTTAGGCCTATGATAATTTACTTCCACTAGCTTTAGGCCTATGATAATTTACTTCCACTAGCTTTAGGCCTATGATAATTTACTTCCACTAGCTTTAAGCCTATGATAATTTACTTTGGGAATATGTGAGGGAGTTTACATCTATGTTTTAATGGTTTAACTGCCCTCTTGGGACTTCTATTCATACACAAGATAGATATGTAAATATTGGTCTTTCATATCAGAGTCTATACACATTTACTTGGTTCGTTTATATTTTAGTCTGCGAGCGTTTATTTGGTAGGTTAAATTTTAAAAATATAAAAGAATTCGTCTTATAGTAGGCATTTATGATTGTTAATAACGATAATTATGTATATGACATAGAAATTTAATTTTTGCTGTATTGAGACGGTTTTCACTTCTCCCCTAGAAATTTTTTATTACTTCGCGAACAAACAACATACACAAGGGTGATTTAATCCGGATTTCAAATTTTCATATAAAAATGTTCGAACTATGGGATATTCATTATTGGATTAGCTGCCTTGAAAATGTTTCTTTTTTTTAACTTTTCACCCCAAGCAAGGCGGGAGTACCACTAGCACGCAAGGGGTTACAGAAATTGGGAGGGAGAGTAAAGGATGAAGAGAAGGACGGGGAATAGATCAAGGAATCTGGAGATGTCGATTGACATAGCATTTGAATAGTTGGCGATTATAGCTTTCAGGGAAGAAAGTAAGAGGAAGCGAGTTCCATGGATGGGAAGTTCGAGACATGAAGTTGTTGGAGTGGAAGAGACGGCTACATTTAAATTTCGACAGTAAAAAGGTGGGACTGAGATGCCGACCTTACGGTACGTTTAAACTCATGCAGTTTGGGAACTAGCGAAAATAGCTCGTCGGAGCAGTTACAGTGAAACTATTTGCAGAAAAGACAGAGGGAGGCAACGGCACGTCTGTGAGAGAGCGACTGTAAACGAGATGTCAGATCAAGGCCAACCACACTGCATATTCATCTCAAGATTTTGTCGATGACCTTAAGACGAACAGCTGGGGACCCAGGCCATATATGACAGCAATA